CTAAATGTAAAATAAAGACCCATCCTGCCATACTACCTTTATATAAAAATGTAAATTGTGCTGGGTGCTGACAATTTGCAAGAGAGCTCTAAATCAGTGATGGCCAGAAATGAGGAAATGAACCACTAGAAATTTTATTCAATATCTGCCCATGTCCTGTGCTCTTCACTGTGCTGCCTTTTGTATGTCCCGTGCCCATTGCAATGCTTTTTGGAAGGGTCATCAGACAAGGGCTTGACCCAGCTTTGGTCTGTGGAAGTGATGTGCTTATAAATATGTACCAGTTTTGAATTTTTTGTACCTGATCACAAGAACAGAGCAAGGCTGATTAGAGAGAGGGATGAGGAATCATCCCTTTCAGAATAAGAAGGGAAGAGTGTAAAATGTGAAATGAGGAGTATGAGGACTTGGGAGAAGGTGTACATGAGGGAAAGACACAGTGAACGACTAAGAAAGTGTAGGAGTTTAGGCATCAAATAACCCAACAAATGATGGATTCTACCAGTCCATGTGCAAGATGCTAATCACTGGGATGAAAAAGATATTCTAACAAGCACTTGTTATGTTGTGGTTCAAGTGCTTACAGTTTGTGATGGAATCAAAAAACATGAACCTGTAGCTCAAAAGAATTCAGGAGCTGTGAGAGAGTGAGTGAGCACTTTTGCCTGCTCATGTTCTTCAGATGGGTGGTGCTCCCACCTTGACCATTGCCGATTCTTTCTTTTGTATATCCACACTGATGCCACGGGTTGCTGAAAAGCAGCTGCCAAAAGCATCGGTCACCCACTGCTTTGTTTGTATTGTCATCTCTGTAGTTCCTCTGACTAGATTTCCATTGCATAAGGATTTTTGTTCTGTGACTTTTGATCACCAAAAATCATCATCATGCTTCCAAGGAACCATCTGTCCCTGCTCTTGACTAATCCCCCTTTGGGCACAGATACCCCATTCTGTTGGGTATCTCAGCAGCCATAGCAGCATCCACCAGCCACTCTGCTGTTTCCTGGACCACATTTCTGCTGCCTTACATATTGCTCAGGTTTATTTCATAATTTTTGCTTTTAATTCCTTCACCTTAGGCGGGCTTGGCAGGTTTCTGTAACCCAGAGCTTTTCATCAGTTCCCATCCTCCACTCCATCCATTGCCAGCATCACCCAACCTCCGTGGTTTTTAATCTTGCTCCACAAGGCATTTCTATGCCTTCTCTACAGCCTGTTATGCTGTGGGAAAAAAAAAAAAAAACCTGTTCATCACACCTCCCCACTCAGCTCATTGAAATCAGTGCTAACCACTTGGTCTTGGTACAAAACCCTGGAAAAATATGAGGGAAGACTGGTAACATGAATCAGAAAAGAATCTCCCAACCTTACCCTGATATCAGCAGCACCAATATGTGTGGCTTAGCAGATCCCTTCCTGATCTTTTAGTTGTCACCTTTATTCTTCTTCTTCCTTCTCCATCTGTTTCTAGTCTTCCATTCCTAGCTGATGCTGAATATAAATTAGACTCCTCAGCAGGGACACCATCTTTTCCCATTTATTATGAACAGTGCAGTACATTTATGAATCTTATCTTTAAATATAGTTTAAATAATTAATACATAGAATTAATAAATAGAGTTAATACTCTTGAAAACAGAATACATTCCAGGTTGGTGGCATCTCCTGAGGAAAACATTGGTTTTATATGAAAAAAAACCACAGAGGGCAGGGGGCAAGATAGTAGAAGATTTGTACACACTGGCTTAGCAGGGAAGTGTGGCAGATGAAATGCTGTAGAGCCAAACACACATAGTATGAACTCAAAATTGATGAAACCAGTGGCAGGAACAGAGATGCTCTGAACAAGCCATAATCTATAAAAGTGCAGTTCAGAGAGAATTGGCCAGATCTTTATTCCTTATCACAGAGCTTGCAGTTGCTTTCTCTCAGCATGAATAGAATTTTTTTCATCTAGAAACTCTCATTCTAGGTTTCTGCATTTTTTTCACTTGTTGCCAAATTAAAATCGTATTAAGCAGCACACCTGCAGTGGGTTCATCTGCAGAGCACTGTGCTGTAGCTTTTAATCCAATTCCATACCTTGTAACATACAATATACTGCAAACCAGGGCACGAAGAGACTGAGGGTATGCTATTCCTAGCTCTGTTGCCAGAGAGCAAATCAAACACTTTGGTTTGTTAAAAAGAGAGAAAAAATAGGACATAGTTAACTACTTGACTTGTAGGAATGGTAAATGTTCATCTGAGAGGTCTGTATAAGCCAGGATACAGAGATCAAATGAAATCATTAACTAAAATGATCAAAAAATGAGAGCAAAAACATGACCCTGCTTGAATTCAGTGTCAAAACTTCTGCTGACTTTAAGAAAGCCAGAATTTCAGCATGAAAAAGCAGTCCCCATCAGGAGAGAGGCTGAGACTGTGTGTCAGCTGTGAGCCCTTCTATTCATTTTCAAAACAAATAAAGTGTGAATGATGTTTTCAAAGGGGATATGCCCTTCTGCCAGACCTTTGCCATCCTATGATGAACCCCAATGTGTGCTTCCTCTTGTTGGGTTTATTTGATGTAAAATAAGGCTGGATATCTATAAAATAGCTCAGGTTCAGCAACTAAGAGTAGAGAAGACTTTTGTGTTCAATGAAGGGAGAAACAAATGATTTACAATTCCTACAGTCAAAACATTTCCATGTTTCTTTTCTAATTTTCAGCACATCCAGATAATTTAGGAAGAGAAAATTATTATATCATGTACTAAGTTGGATCTTCAAGTTGCAAAGGAAACATTTCTTATTCAAAAAGATGAAATGATATTTCTCTGCCTCCAATGAACAGCAAATCTTCAGAGAAAAGCATCCTGGCTGTAGCATTCTACATGATATGCCATTCTTACTTTTTGATAAAGTTTAAGAAACACTGTTTTCATTCTCTTATACTAAAGAGCTTTCTTTTTGTAATACCAAATGCAAAACTGGGCTAGCAATGCAATTATTTTACGTTGTCATGTGATTTGATTTGGATTATTTGAATAAATCTTCAGATGGTAAAGGTGAAGTACTCGTGGCTTGGTTTTATGTATTTCTTGTATATTTCTGCTGTCAGTAAAGCTGAAGACTTACCTGAGGTAATCATGGTAAATTTTCTGGAAGCTACAGTATAAATGAATGACACTGTGTTAATGCTGCTTTGTGTCTATGGTGTTTAATTAAAAATTTATATTTATTGAATATAAAACCTAGCACTAATTCCCGTCTTTAGAAATTCCTGTTTTGTTTACCATTTCTGCAGGATACAAGAGTCAGTATCTCACATATAATTCTATTAACCAAAATAAAATAGGCTGTATAGAATGTTACTATTTTATTATGTTCAAAGCTAGGTTGTTTGGGCTTGTTCTGTAAGTAAAGTACAAGCAAAGACATTTATAAAGAGAAACCCTGGCATAAATTCATAGAAAATAGTAAATACAAATGATGAGATTTGTATCTTGCCTGCGTCAGATTGTGTGAGGAAATTCCCTGAAACACCATGGAAGTGGGGGATTTAGCTATTTCTGAAGAGCATGCCTGCAGTGAGTTGTCTGTGCCTGGTTGCTATTTCAAGAAGGGACAACTACTTCAATATTTTAAGAAGGGACGTATCCTGAATCAGAGAAAAGCACTTGTCAGGAGCTTGGGAAGCTTTCACTCATTTTGGGTTTGGAAATCTACATTGATTTGCCACTTGCATCTCCATTCCTCTGTCTCTGCTCAAGCTCTGAAGAGGGAATCAATTTTCAAAAGTGTGGTATTGCAGCAGATGTAGACAGGGCCATGTGCTAAATGAAAAGGTAGTCATCTCTGCAGAAAAAATTAAGAGTTTGGGGCCAAAATTATATTTTCTTGGGAAGTATCTTTACAATCAGAAAAAATATTAGGGTCTTAAGGCCCATTATACCCATTTCCACTATTCCTTAGGTTTTTGTAGTGGAGGAAAAAAAGGGAACAGGGAGTGTAGGAAAAAATGAGCTAAAAATACTCAGTATTCTCCAGTCCACTTTTATTTATAAGAGTTTAGATTCTAGATTAGATATACCTGTTCTCATGGCACAATTAGGCAGAAGTTGTATCAGTAGACTGATCATCTATTCTTCACAGATATGAAAAAGTAAGATGTACCTGAGAACATCTTTTAGATGTACCTGAGAACCTTCTGGCAGGCAAAGGTTTCTGAGAGATTCTACTGATTCTGAGAGATGCTAGTGAACCCGTGTTCCTGAAATAATTTGCATTAATGCAATGGAAGTTTACGAGCATATGTTTTAAAGAATTACAGCTTTGCATTGCCATATTGACGAGGTCTACTGCCAAGAAAGGAACTGTATGCACATGTGCCTTTATTAAATTGGGCTATTGATACAAACTCATATACATGCAAATCTTTGCCTAATTAAAAACTTGCCTGGAAGACGTTTAATAGCAGCTCCCTGAATTTGCATATCAAAACTGCATCCTCGCAAGCACCAAACTAATGCTGCCTGCCACCCTGGACTTTGGGTCTTGCTGTGACTTGACCCCAGTGCCCAAAGGAAGCTTTCCCTGCAACGGGAGGGTTCACACGGACACTCTCCCTCGTGGATAGTCTCCTCTTTAATAAACGGAGAGGTCGCACCGCCTCTGCCCGGACAACTCTATCTTCTTGGCTTTGTGGTGCGTGCAGAGAACCTAATACGTGAGATACCTGCTGGACCGTGCAGCTGAACCAGGGGCTTCAGCGGTGTCCCAGGAGCCCCGCAAGGGACAAAGGCAGGGTTACCCCGCAGGGAGCTCCGCGTGGGCTGGGACCCGCCAGGGGCTCCGGGCTGGGGGCAGGACACCGAGGCGTGACGCGACTGCGGGGCCATCGGGAGCTGCCGCCACGGCCGTGCGCGGGGCGGAGGCGCTGCGGGAGGCGCTGCGGGAGGCGGCGGCGGCCGCGGGAGGGCGCGGCGGGAGCGGCGCTGCGGGCGCTGCCGCAGAAGATGTCGGCGCGGCGGCCGTGGCCGTGCTGGCTGCTGCCGGCGCTGCTGTGCGGCGGCGCGGGGGCGTACGTGGTGGTCAGCTCGGTGTCGTGGCCGCTGCCCGAGGCGGGGGCGGCGGCGGACGAGCTGCACAGCTCCTCCACCGAGGAGGCGCTGCCCGCGCTGCTGGAGGAGGCGGGCGGCCTGTGGAAGCAGAGCTACCCGGCCTCGGCGTACCGCGAGGATGCGGCGCTGGGCCCGGGGCCGGCGGCGCGGCGGCCGGGGCAGGGGCAGGGCGCCGCCCCGTCCAGGATGTTCTCCTACCGGCGGGAGGGCGGCGCGGCGCCGGGCCGGGCCGGGACCGCCCGCTTCCTCGCCCGACACAACACCTGGGGCTTCGTGGCGACGCGGGCCGCCCGAGGAAAGGTACGGAGCCCGCGGCGGCCGCGGCACCCGGTACCCGCCCCACCACGGAGCGGCGCAAACTGCGGAGGAGAGAGAAATCGTGCTCGGAGCTCAGGCAGGGAGGATGCACGCGAAAACCGCACCAGAGGGACACCTAAAATAGCAAAATGTCAAGGCCAGAAAGCAGAGCTGCATCGCAGGGTTTGGAAAGGGGCTGTTTCAGGAGGATGAGGAGGAGAGCCTGCTGGGCTACCACACAATCTGCCCGTCCGTCCAGCTATCTCTGTCAGGAACAATAAACAAAATAGCTGGGCTGCTATTGGGGTCATTCTTTTCTCCAGCTTTAAAATATTTCCTTTTTTAAAGTGAAACGTTAGGATGAGACACAGCATCCAGTACCACTCGGACAAAAAGGGGAAAAAAGAGAAAAAAAAATTAAAAATGCATTCTTAACTTTCTGTTGAAAGTATTCACAGATTAATTAGCATATGATTTTGAATTAAATTTAGAAGCACGTAAGTCTTCAGGAAGCTCGGCTTAGTGGCAGTTAAAGTTATTGTGAAATACAAAGTAACAGATATAATTCCTCAGTGGAATTATAGCCATAATATAGTCTGCAGTTACCTGCCTCCAGACAGAACACAGAAGTAATACAGAAAAATCTGATTCATAATAAAATTTGAAATTTGGAGAGTGATGTTTGCTGCTTTGAATGCTGAACTATGCTGCCTGTGATCACAATTATTTTTGAGAATCCAGAGTAACATTAGCCTTGCATGACAGACTGAATATTTTAAGCAATGGGAACACATCCTGCAATATTACTGAGAGCTTTTTTTAAAATCGTAACTCTTAATAATAAACAAGGATTTGTATTTTCTAAGTTATGTAATATCATTAAAGCATTATTTCTAAGGGAAGCCAACAAAGACCATTTATAAGCACTCTAAGCATTAAAATTTTAAAGGCATATAAACATTAAAAATCAGAAAGCATGCTACCCAGGTAACAACATCATCCAGGGTTTTCTTATTAACTATTCATATTTAATTTGATTTTGTTGTAAAAGATTTAATGTATTGACAGATAATTTTACTGTTTAACATGTAATAGACCATGAGGAAAAAATATCTGAATGCATGAAAAAAAGGAGCAATTAACTGAATATCTGTCATTGCTATTTATAATGGGATGAAAAGCATAGTAGGAGTATATGTCATTCTGAAGCATATTAATGAGTGTCACTACTGGGCAAGGACATTTTTGCATGCATTATAACCACTGTGTGTACATAGGGCAGTGTATGGGAGAAAATATTTTTGAAAACTTGGCTCATTGGTGTCCCTTCTCTGCCATGAGAGGAGATGTTACTTAGGCTGGCTTGATAGTTGAGACACTCACCCCCCCCATCAGGAACTTGATGTTCCTGCCCAGGAAGCTGAGCTGATGTCCAGTTTGACTTCAAACACAATTCTAACTCAAATGCCTTCTTGTTTTTGCAAACAAATGCAGTCACACTGCAAGTCAAAACTAAAAGAGGAGGCACAATTAGAGTAAAAAGCAGGGTAAATAAGGCTCTGTATCCTTTTGGTTTAAGGAAAGATACCAGCAGTGGTTTAGAATAAACATTTCCTGGCATGAATGGCAGCAAAAAAAGAAATTCATGCACTTACACATTTTTAATTTGGTAGTTCCTTTAAGCTTAGTGTAAGAGAAAATGTTCCTGACAGTGTCATGGACAGGACTAGAGAGAAGCAATAGAAGAGAGATCTGTTTTCATAGAAGCATGACAGATCTAATTTAGAAGAAATGCTCTCATGATGATAGCACAAAGTGGGAGCAATGGGGCTGGCTGTCCTCTCTGCTAGAGCCCTTGAGGGAATCCCCCCCTTGAGAACTGTCTATGTGCAAAGAGGTAACCAGCTGCTTATTTGGATTTTGCAGATCCAAGGTATGCCCTACGGGAACTGTTTACTTCTCAGCGATGGTCCCATCAATAACAGCACTGGAATCCCTTTCTTTTACGTGACACCAAAGGACAACACTGTGACAGATCTTCTGAAGAATCCCATGGCTTCTCTGACCCTTCCAGAGGCAGATGGAAATTTCTGCAGGTAACAGTTTTATCTGCCTCCTACCACCTTCAGTGAGAACAGAGACCTCAGAGCAGAATGCTGGGTCCCCACCTTCAATGTCCTGCATTTATTTTTGACTCTCACAATCAGCTACATCGGTTGGGGTTTTTTTGGATTTTTTTTCCCAGTAAATTCCCCTGGTAAAGCATAGTAGAGAAAAGCAGAGGTGTCACTGAAGTATATTGTAGCATCAACAGCTGGAGTAGCTTTCAGCTTGAACATTGACATACCTAAATTTTAATCTCTTCTTGGATGTGCCTACGTAAAATCTAGGTGTTCAAGATCCTGTAATAGTCTATAGTTATCTAGACAATAAAATCCACAGAGTTTTAGAGGCTATCCAATTCACATCTTCACTCTGCTGAACTCTGCTCTGGAGGCCCTGCTAAATGCCTTGACAGGGCTCCAGCTCTCTGGGTTCTGTAAGAGGATCTCAGGCTCTCAGCTCACAAATTATATGCTCAAGCCTATGACATTCTGTCTGATTTCCACCTCTTCAGAGAGTATGATGAAATGTGATATCTTTGCAATTTTTTTACACCTTGTATATCACGAACAGTCAGAAAATGACCCCCCAAATAGAGAAATCCATGTCTGAGGTTCACCAGTCTACATCCAATCCCCAGTGCTTCTCTCCAGAGACAGCAGTGAGTTGACTTCTTCTTAATCGTACTGTAGAATCTTAGATGGCCTGTGACAGTGGTCACAGGGGTTTTCAGGTGAAGGTAAAGACGAGAATGTTGACTCCATGTTCAGAAGGCTTGATTTATTATTTTATGATATATATATTACATTATAACTATACTAAAAAGAAAAAGAAGGAAAGATTTCCTCAGAAGCTAGCTAACCTAAGAATAGAAAAGAATGAATAACAAAGATCTGTGTCTTGGACAGAGAGAGAGAGCCAGCTCTGCCATGAGTGGTCACTAAATCAAAACATCCACACAAGACCAGTCACGGACCCACCTGTTGCATTCCACAGCAGCAGATAACCATTGTTTACATTTTGTCTCTGAGGCCTCTCGGCTTCTCAGAAGGAAAAATCCTAAAGAAAAGGATTTTCACAAATGATGTCTGCGACAATGGCCCTTAGGGTTTCTTCCAACACAAGCCATTCTGTCATTCTAAGTCCAACCGCCTGCCACAGACAGGGACACTTTCCACTATGCCAGGTTGCCCAAAGCTGCATCCAGCCTGGCCTTGGGCACTTCCCAGGATGGAGCATCCGCAGCTTCTCTGGACAACCTGCTCCAGGGTCCCATCACCCTCACAGCAAAGAATTATTTCCTATCATCTAACCAAAACCTACTCACTCTCTTTTAGTTCAAATCCATTATCCCTATGCCCTTGTAAGAAGTCCTTCCCCAGCTTCCTTGCGGGCTCCCTTTAGGTACTGGATGTTTGCTTATAAGGTCTCCCTGGAGCCTTCTCCAGGCTGAACAACCCAAAATGCTCAGCCTGTGTTTGTAGGAGAGGTGCTCCAACCCTATGGTCATCTTCATGGCCTCCTCTGGACTTGCTCCAACAGCTCCATTCCATTCTTTGCATATAATGAATAACTTCAGATCCCCAAAGCCTTACATGTGTACAATATATCTATGTAACCTCAAAGATGACTCAATTTCCCCCTCCATTTTTGTCTCCTTGAAAAAGACATATCTCTACCATATGTTTGTTTACAGTCAATCATGTGGCAAACTTGGCTGGGTCAGCCTTGTGTGAAGTGTTATTTACAAAGGCCTCTTTACGTGACGAGGTACATGACACCGAAATTGTGTCAGACAGAACTCTGTTACCAAAGCAGGTCTTAGCTGACATTCCAAGCAGAGAGAGAGAGAGAACTGGTAAGAACAGACTCCTTCAGAAAGAAATGGCATTAACAGTTTTTATTCCACCTTAAGGTCATCTTTGGGGAAGGAGAGGTTTTATCTTAAGACTAGATTTCCCCAGCTGAGGATTGCCTTGAGTATCATCCCACCTCTCAAGCCTGCTAGCTGAGAAGAACCCTGGGAAAAGCAGGGAATGGTAAATATAAAACATTACTGTTCCACTTGTCTGTATTTGTGTTCAGAATATATTGTTTTCTAGAGAGTTATACGGTGGAAAAATGAAATGTTTCTTAGTCTGAAGCAGTACAAGTAATTTCAGGCTGACATCCTGTTCACAAGGAATAGAAATCATGGCTTCCTCTTACAATGTCAGACACCTAATAGGAAACTGCCATCACCAACATTTGTTAAGGTAATTCAGTCTTGAATGCTTGAGGAGGTCAGTGAAGTAGTGAAGTTAACACTGGAAAGGTTCTGCTTATTGCTTAAATATTTTCATTAAATATTTTGGATTAATAATTTAGAAAATAAACATATCCATTCTTTCACTGCAGGCTTAATGGCACTTATTCCTGCTTTCTGAGCTTTTTCATTCAGTCTAATAGTTAACTTACTATCCAGACCAAGTGCTTAAAAATGTATTTTAAGTCCTACGTCCTACTACCTAATGCCCTATTTTCAGAGGCCCGAGGCTCAGAGCAGCTTCCATTGATGATGTGTTAATGTTGAGCCCTTCTGAAAACCACACACCCACTTAGGCACTTAAGTGTGGCCTTTGATCCCTAACTTTAAACAGCCACTCTTGAAAGTCTTTCCCTCTTATGGCTTAGCAACATTACTGCCCTATTTACCTGTTTGGGAAGTGCCAATTCACAACAAAAGAGAAATGCTGCATGATATTACAGAAATATGAAATCCGTATACACTGCAAACCTTTGAGGATATTTATTCGATGTCTTTTTATTACATCACTATCAATTTCCAAATCCCTACTCTTCTGATCAGTATCCCAGATATTTGCTGCTGCTTGTTTGCAGCCAGGGAAACCTGGATTCTGTCACCTGACTCTCCCGTCCCCTCTGCAGCCTGAGACTGTGCTCTCTGGTGAGAAGAGCTCTCTGGGCCAAGAAGCTAAACCTGGATTTCCAAAACAGCTTAGTCCAAACTAATCACCATTTGCCACATCCCTGCTCTCCCTCCCTACCACCAGTCATGTGCTACCCTGCCCCCCATCACTTCTGGGTTTGCCTCAGCCTAAGCTGAAACATAAATGTGAAGAAAATTATCCTGACAGCAAGACTAAGTTTTTCTGCTGATCCTTCTTCTTTTCATCCTGTGGCCAGTACTGCTCCTGGCCTTGGAATCCCATCCCCACCCTCCAGCTGACCATATGGTGGACCTATTTTTGCTCAGCAACCCAGTGGAAACTTCTGGTTTGGTTGGATTTTTTTTTCTGGATGAGATTTCTACTGTCTTAGTGACTTGAATCAGCTCTTCAAGAGCCAGAGAAGAACAAAGGAGAGGCAAAAGGAAAAGAGAAGGTGGTGGAAAATAGAATATTCTCACTTTAGCAGGTAACCATACTCCAAAAATTGAGTTTACTACTGAATTGAGTACACAAGTTCAGAGTTTGATCACTGTTCCATGCATTATTTATTTTACCTTCAGTTTCTTTTTCATTATTTCTGAAGTTCTCATCTGGAACAGATGTTGGCTTGCATTAGTGCAAAGTCAAGCAATACAGACAATGAAAAGCTGTGTCTTTACATGAGCTACAGTTTTTGTTTTTGGTGATATGAAAATGTGAGCAAGCTTTGAGGCTGTCTCTCAGCAAGGAAGGGTATAGGCAATGGACTTTACCTTTCTTCTCTTCCCTTCCCCTATAACCAGGGTCAGAAATTAATGTATATATTAAACTAGGAAACCATGAGTGATTTTTGCATTTGAAAGCAGCACCCTCTGAAATGGCAGCCCAGCACAGCACCCCACTGGTACCCTTCTCAAAGGGCCTCTGTGGGCAATGTGACACTGAAGAAAACAGCAAGGTGTCCAGGCCCTACTGCCAGTGCTGGGGGTGGCCTGTCCCCAGCTTCAGTGTGCACTTGATCAGCTGAGATAGGCTATGCCATGCAAACAGCACACAGCAGCCTCAGTGCAGAGCTTTATGTGATGGCTCAAGTTTGGTGCAGCAAAAGTCTTCTTTACTAGCACTATATGACAGGCAAGACCTTTCCCTCTGTGAGACCTCAGGTCCTGCTAGTATTAAAATGGTATCTGTGAGGTCTTCTTTGCAAAGGAAAGTGTCATTCTTGTCAGACATTCTCTTCAATTGCATCAATAATTGTTTTGGTTTCAAAATAATTATGTAAAATAGCTAAATGAGTAATATTCTATGTGAGAAAGTTCATGTCCTTGCATACTGGCAATGCATTTGTAGCTTGGTTTCATGTGGAACTTCATTAGAATTCCATTATTAATCTACTCTGAGTTGCAAGAATCAAAATAAATGTGAGAGCTGATCGGTGCCTGTAGCCAATGCTCCTGGGAGTATTTGGCACTCTCCTGAAAAATGCTTCTGACCTATTGCATGCAAAAGAAATCTCTGGCCTTTAGAAAGAAAACATAGCTGACATTTCAATGTCTTCGTGTACCTAATGAATTTCAAGTGACTTCTGTACACCAATTTGATATTAAATTTATTTAGTAGCAAATTTCATTTGTTTTGTTTCAGAACAGACTCAAGTTCCAAACCCTGACAGTGAATATTTTCCCTTTCAAGGATGTGAGGAATACAGACTGGCCTTTATGGTGCTCCAGCCTCAATATTTAATCAGCTGGAGAGGAAATTTGAAAACCCTAAACTAATAAGAAAAATAACATTTCATATTGAAAGAAAGAGAGCTGCAATGCATCTGACTAGGCACTAATTGCAAGACATTTTAGTATTGCAGCTACAGTTTTGATTCCTCATCTCTGACCTAGAGATTACCATTTCCCAGAGGGAGATGGGCTGCCCCTCTCTGAGAAGGCTCTGATGGCCAGGATAGAGACAGCATTTGTTAGTAACTACACAGCATTTTATCTGAAGGCTGATAAATGGATAATAGAGGCAAGAAAAATTAAATGGTTCAGGGCTATAAATAGACTGGT